AAAAAAAAAAAAAAAAAAAAAAAAAAAAAAAAACACAACCACAAAGCCCTTTCCTTTTGTACAGTTATGTAACTAAGCTACTTTTTGGCTCCACCTTTGCAAGCTCCCTCCTCTACCTCCCTTGCCTTGCTCTCATGGGTCTCTGCACTCTAGCTAGTTAGCTAGCATTGGAGGGAAATAGGTTATGGTGGACAAATTATAGACCATTGTCAATGATGTAATCAGAAAGAGTATTCTTTTCCCTTTTCAATTTTTTTGTATTCAAACTATGGGCTCATGAATGCAAGGAACCCAGTACCCACCAGGCAGGCTCTCCACACACATGCTCACCCCCAAAGCTCCCCTGTCCTTACCTGCAGCACCCACTTTGGACAGGGATGGAATATCAGACAGGCTGCTAGTGTCATGGGACTGGGCAGTCATTTTGGAGGTACTGACAAGCATACCCAGGGACTAGGAGAAGAATACATACATATATTTTCATTTAGGGAAATAAAGTTTTGAATCCAGATCTCTGGAGACTAAATGCCTGCACATTAACCGACTGGGCCCAGTCTTTTTCTGCTTTTCACAGCAGCATCCACAGAACAGATTTTCTAAAAAGAACATCTCCCAAGCCCCAAACCTGAATTATAGAAACAGTTGTGTCTTTTAAATTAATCTTGCTGTAATGAGCAAAGCTGTTCAGTCAATCAGCTCCTATGAACTAGGAAGAAAAATGCAGAAAGGCAACCTAATTAAAGAATAGGTCTGTTAAGACTGAAGACAGAAGAGTTCCTTTCACCCAGTGGATTCAGGTGGAACAGGGAGCAGGTATTTAGATCTTCCCCTAGCTGAAATCATTAAAAACAAAGAAAGGTGACATGGCAGCAGAGATTCATGGAAGAAGCCTGGAAAACACTCCAGGGAGCTCTGGCTTCAGTTGCCAGGAAATTTAAGGGGCAACATTCATCCAGTTGACTTCAGTGGAGTTACACCAAGGTTGTATGTGCTACGATGAGACACACGTAAACGACTGCCAGATAATCCATAAAGCAACTTGTAACTTGTGTTTGGTGGGGGGAAAAGCTGGAAACACTGATCTCCCAGCAATAATTAAAAACAGATCAAGGTATTGAGGTAAGAAACCTATATTTGGACAACAGATATTGGGAGAGAAACCAGCCACGCATTTTGCTTCCTCCCCCAAGAAAAGAAAACTAGTTTAATATTAAACCATTATTTCTATTCAGTCATGTCTTTTAATATCAACATGGCTCAGCTTTGCTATTTTAAACTCCCATAGTTAAACTTTCACTGCCTTGTGATCATGGCTATATAATTTCCAATCAACTTGTGCTCCATCATGCCCTGCTACAATGCAGGTCTGACATCAGATTTTCCAAGACTCAATAAAAATTAATTAGTCCGTTAAAAAAAAACCCACACCCTGAAGTGACGGGTTTTTTAGCCTTGGGGTTTTTTGTTTGTTTGTTTTTTAATTCTCTAGTGGTGCATGAGATTTGATGCTTTACCCTGAAGCCCTTGTCTCCAGCTGCAGTGAGATAGAGAAGACCTTTCCAATCCCAAACTGGACACTATAATAACCTGCATTTTCACAGAGAGAAGATACAAGGCTAAGATTCATTTTTCCACTCTCTCTTTGATTTTCTAAAATTCAATAGGTAGCTTTCTTTTAAAATACTAGTTAAAGTATTTTGTTTATAGTCAACCTCAGTATTTATCTAAGAGTCTCAAAGCACTTCACAGCACCCTGTGAGGTAAGGAAGCATCATCATCCCCATTTTCCAGACGGGGGGACACAGTGGTACAGAGAAGTTAAATGACTTGCGCAAGGTGACACAACAAACTTGGCAAAGCCAGAAAAAGTCTTCCGCTCTAGCCATTAGCTGCCATGGCCTTGCTGTATTTTATCTACCCACTCTGGACTAGTTTAATTAATCTATGGGCCAGCAGCACTTAACCAGCCTCCCACCTAGAGGGGATCTCTTGTTGATCACTGAGAGCTCAGGGTGGAAGACTTTCACTCTGCTGCTGCAATCTGTGCTATGCCTATTATGGGTCAGAGGCCACCAGCTCCAAGGTTACCTATCCAGCACCTTTCACTAGCACCAAATCTGCTATTTTTGTGTGTGTGTGTGTGGGGGGGGGGGTTCGAAGACAACTAGAATGCCTTTTTGGATTCTTTCATCATTAGTCTGACTAGAACATCAATATAACAAGCTCTTTAGCCACCACCTGGAGGCAGAATGGGTTAACAAAGACTAGCACCTGCCTGCCACAGACCTTTCTATTGTTTAATTTTATCTGGGATTCAAAGTTGGGGGAGATGGTTTGGGAGGGAGAGAGGGAGGAGAAACAGGAAAGTACAATAATAAAAATAATCTTATGGTTAAGGCCCTGGGAACATCACGGATCCAGGTTCAATGCCTGACTAAGCCACAGAACAAATCACTTAATCATCCGGTATCTCAGTTACCCACCTGTGAAATCCTCCCCTGGTGTGCTGAGAGGCTAAACTCATTAGTGCCTGTGAGGTGCTCAGATACTGCACCAATGGGGCCACATACATACACAGCGGGAACTGCCCCCCTTGCCAGCTTTTGCTCATACGTGATGTAACTAACAGAGCATGCTGTGCTGGAGGCTTATAGCACTATACATTTTTATGACTCTAATCACTGCCACCCCCTAAACACATTACTAATGCTCCTGAACTAAACAGCCCATTTATGGGTTTGCAGCCACCCTGAGAACATCTGGAAAGTGCTGTTTACATTCTTTCCACACACACCAAAGCAACAGCAGCAGCAGATGATAAAGTGACCCAGAACAGCTGATGACATCATGGTCTCACAGGAGGAGGAAATAGCTGAACTTCCTGCTCATGGCCCATTAAACGCTCAACACTGGCGTCGTCTCACTGAAATCACAATAATGGATTGGCAAGGCGAGAAAGTCAATGGAGAGGGAGGCAGAGCAAGGGCTTTGGAGTGTTACTGAACAACTGGAAAATAGGAAATAGTTCTATGCTGAATGTAGTAAAACCACCGCCATGTGTACACTATAAAAGGAAGCGTGTTTTTAGAGTGAGACGTGTTCACTAGTTTTAAAGTTATGACCCATCGCAGGGTAAAAATAAATGCAGAATATACATGAAAAGCTGCTTTCAAAATAGCGCCCTCTCCCATTTTAGTCACCTAAGTGGCACCCACCTCCTAATGGCCTCTTTACACTCCCCTCCCCTTCCAAAACCAAATATTTTTAGACTTATTTATACAGGAAATCTCTAAAGAGGGACAGAGTCAAAGGTGGTGGGACAAACCACCAACATAAACTGACCTGTGACATGTCATGCGCAATTATTTGCTGGCTGTAATCACCTACTGAAAAAGAAATCTAGCCTCTCCATTTTCGACGCTGCTTCAGTTGCGTTCCCCATCCTCTCCCATTTAATAAAATCATAACTAGAGATGGAACTGAGCCAAAATTCTGGATCTTAACATTACTCAACTCTGCGAGCCTTTGGAGCCAGATCCAGACTTCAGGACCCAAGCCTCTCTGATCACAACACTTTGTACCGCTATAGTAGCGGTCACGTGAGAATCTCAAAGCATTTTACAAACATTTCATACCCAAGCACGGCACAACAGACAAAGTGCACGAAGAAAATCAAGCCCCGGCCTGAGGAGCTCACAGTCTGAAGACACATTATGTCTACACAGCATTTTGGAGCTCAAGGAAGCAAGCATCAGAGCCCAGGTCAACCGATTCAGCCTAGCAGGGCACATGCTCGTGCTCTAAAAATAGCTCTGTGGACAGTGCTTTGATGTTTCAGTTCAGGCTGGAGCTTGGGCTTTGAAAGCCGGGGAGAGGGACAGGTTTCAGAGCCCGAGCTCCAGCCCACGCTGCAACTTCAAAGCAAAGTCTAAACAGCTATTTTTAGAGCTCTAGCATGAGCCCTGCTACCCAGAGTCTGTTGACCCATGCTGGGAGGCTCACTCCCGTGGACTCCACAATGCTGTATAGACGTACCCATATGCATAGTGCAGTACAGAGCAAAGTCAATGAATTGCATCTGATAAGAGGAATGCTTTGTGGACCTGGCATGCTTTTAGAAGGGGAGAGGAAGGGTTCCCATAACAAACAGTGGAGGAAGGACACACAGAGTGGTGAGAGGCGCTTGGATTGTAGGCAGGAAGGAGAGCTTAGGGAGGTAGTACAAGCTTTAACTTCACATTGGGCGAATGCCGATACATGGCCTGAGTAGCAGAAAAGGCAGGTGAACTAGGCAACTACATTTAGGGTTGGAGCAGGATGCTGCAGCGGTCAAGACAGAAAGCAGCCCTGGCAGCAGGGACCACGAAAGGGATGGGTTAGAAGATCTGGAGAGAAAACACAACACAATTAGCCAGCAGAACTCAAGACTACAGAGAAGTCATTGAGGCCAAGAGCCTAGCAGGAATGGGGTGGGGGTGAGGGGAAAAGAGATTGGAGATGTATAAATAAGCCTAACTTATCTGTGCAAGTGCTCACAAATTTGGAAGATATTATGCTCTAGATCATAAAGGTTTATAAGCCAACCACTAAATATAAATAATTATT